AATTTTAGAATTTAATTATAAAATTTTATTATTATTAAGTCATTATTAAAATTGTAAAATTTTTATAATGAATATGGATTTTACTATTTATTCCAAGCTATAGAACATTTTACTTTGGTAGAAATTGTGGCTAAAAATATATTACATTTTATTAATATAATACACACACATAAATGAACATATTTAAGAAAATATGTTATGTTTATATATTATATGAATATAAATATATGTAAATACATGTAAATATATTTTCAAAACATCAACATGCATGTGTGTGTATTTATATATACATAATGCACACAGTACACACACATATAGTACGTAAACAAACTTTTATTTTGAATATTATTAATCACGATTAATCATTATGCAGCTCTAATTTACAACATTATAAAATGGAATGTTTTTCTTAATGTTGCCTCTTAAACATGGAAACGATGGCCGAATGTTCTTAGAACATTATTTTGTTTGCTGGGATTGTGTCAAATGACACAAATAAAAAAAACGAGGTACGACTGTCTGACTGTACAACATGTTTACTGTAAACACATCTGCTGTTTGTCTGTTTATGACTCAACAGGATGAGACCAGCTATGACATAACAGTGTCGTTTTTATTTAACGCTAATTATAATAGCCACAGACTAAGACAAACCCCTTAAAGCATTATTTACTTTCATTATGAATCATATTTATCTGTGTGTCACAGTCTGGAGACTCTAGAGATTGCTCCAGAAAAACTCCCTTCAGAGAATAAACAGAGGACAGATGAAGAATGTGTGGATGGAGTAGACAGCTTTATTCATTCTGTTTATTATTCACTGTGTGTGTGTGTGTGTGTGTGTGTGTGTGTGTGTGTGAGAGAGAGAGTGTGTGTGTGTGAGAGAGAGTGTGTGTGTGTGTGAGAGAGAGAGTGTGTGTGTGTGAGAGAGAGAGTGTGTGTGTGTGAGAGAGAGAGTGTGTGTGTGTGAGAGAGAGAGTGTGTGTGTGTGAGAGAGAGAGTGTGTGTGTGTGACACATAAATGAACATATTTAAGAAAATATGTTATGTTTATATATTATATGAATATAAATATATGTAAATACATGTAAATATATTTTCAAAACATCAACATGCATGTGTGTGTATTTATATATACATAATGCACACAGTACACACACATATAGTACGTAAACAAACTTTTATTTTGAATATTATTAATCACGATTAATCATTATGCAGCTCTAATTTACAACATTATAAAATGGAATGTTTTTCTTAATGTTGCCTCTTAAACATGGAAACGATGGCCGAATGTTCTTAGAACATTATTTTGTTTGCTGGGATTGTGTCAAATGACACAAATAAAAAAAACGAGGTACGACTGTCTGACTGTACAACATGTTTACTGTAAACACATCTGCTGTTTGTCTGTTTATGACTCAACAGGATGAGACCAGCTATGACATAACAGTGTCGTTTTTATTTAACGCTAATTATAATAGCCACAGACTAAGACAAACCCCTTAAAGCATTATTTACTTTCATTATGAATCATATTTATCTGTGTGTCACAGTCTGGAGACTCTAGAGATTGCTCCAGAAAAACTCCCTTCAGAGAATAAACAGAGGACAGATGAAGAATGTGTGGATGGAGTAGACAGCTTTATTCATTCTGTTTATTATTCACTGTGTGTGTGTGTGTGTGAGAGAGAGAGTGTGTGTGTGTGTGTGAGAGAGTGAGAGTGTGTGTGTGTGAGAGAGTGAGAGTGTGTGTGTGTGTGTGTGTGTGAGAGAGAGAGTGGAGAGTGTAACGCAATTTCAATTCTCTGTGTGTATGTGCTGTACATGTGGAAGAATTGACAATAAAGCAGACTTGTATTGAAAATCTGAAATAGCAGAAAGTCTCCTGTGAGGGGTAGGTTTAGGGGTAGGGTTGGTGTAGGGCAATAGAATATACGGTCAGTACAGTATAAAAACCATTACGCCTATGGAGAGTCCCCACTTTTCACAAAATAAAACTCTCTGTGAGTGTGTGTGTGATGTACATACACATACTCTGTGCTCAGCTGGCTGAATACACACTATGATGATGAATCAGTGAAATTACTGCTTTTTGACCATCACATCTGTGGAAGCAAGTTTCTTACACGTGATGTTAGCGTGATATCTAGCGGACAAAAGCAGAACTGCAGTCACAGCGCTTAAATCAGTCCGTTATTGCATGTCTGAGCCACTAGAGGGCGCAGCTGAGGCGACATTGTTCCTGGAGACACACACACATCTAACCATCTATCTCTGTTATATAATAACGCGCGCGCGCGTGTGTGTGTGTGTGTGTGTGAGTGTGTATGTATATATAAGCCATATATATATATATATATATATATATATATATATGGCTTAAATGCTAATTACATTCTTTATAACTATATACGATATTCTACATATAACAATATTCTATATAATCTTATGCAATCTAAATGCACACACACACTCTCTCTCTCTCTCACACACACAC